TCCGGTTGGTGTGAAGTGTTGAGTAACAATGCTAATGAGTAGGGACCCATCGAGTGATATGACCATGTCACCTTATAGCCAGTGGAAAGTTACAAGGGGTGATATGGTAATATAAACCCAATGTACCGCCCTGACATTTATATAAAGACTAAGGGGCTAATACATGCATGTATGTTTGCTTGCTTTGTGGGCCCAGGCTAGACCAGCAGGGTCCCAGAGGGACGGTGCATAGGCCCACTGGCATGTGGACACGTCCTGGTACCTACCAACCACTGCCCAGCTGTCTTATGGATTAACCTTGGTAGGTATAAGGCTATGGGAGAAATCCCCAAACGAAAAATCTGTAGTGGAGCCCTGCATCAGGCAGACATGCTTACAGAGCTCCAACAAGACCCCCAACGGCGGTACAGGTGACCAACACGGGAACCCAACGACACACCGGCAGACAAAGGCAATGCATGATGGACACACTAAGCTGAAACCCAACAAACTGGGCTATCGACAGTCCATTGCAACTCTCCCTCTCCCCAGTCGTTGCACCACTGGATCAGCCTGCGCTCCTGCCTCACCACATAAATCAACTTACCCGCAGCCATCATCCAGCTCATCATACCTCTCATCATCATCAAAACCCCTATACCCCCAAAAGTCCTATGGCGACAGACGAGTGGGACGGGACAGGCAGAGATGACTGCCGGGAGTCTCTAGTCACAACTCTGCACATGGCTACAGATAAGATGGTCGTTATGCAGGGATCTAGGCAGCACTGCAATCCAGTCCTGTCTGTGCGACTAAGCATCCCTTCGAGGAGCCTACCTCTCACCCCACAGGGGGAGGGGCTAGAAAAGGTGCCCTAAACATAGTCTGCCCAAAGAACCAACCTGATTTGGCAACTGCACCCAGTAAGGTCATCCTTATGCGATCGAAAACACAACCATAATCACAGACCAAAACAAAAAACAAACTATACAACCTCTTATGGTCGCTGCATGCAATGTCAGGACCCTTCTGGATACTGGCACAAATGAGCGTCCTGAAAGAAGAACTGCCCTTGTGGGCAAGAACAAAGGTGTCGGCAAATTCCATTTGTGAACTTCAGTATGCAGACGACCTCACCCTTGTCGCTCACACTGAATGCGACCTACAGGAGATCCTGAACACCTATGCAGACGCGTATGCACACTTCGGCCTTGAGGTGAATGTAATGAAGACTCAGATTCTTTGTCAGCCTGCCCCTGGTTCAGACACACCTCCACCATCCATCCAGCTTAACTGTACTACCCTCTCTAATGTTACCCACTTTTGGTATCTTGGCTCCCACCTGTCCACCACCATGGGACATCGATGAAGAGATTCAACATCGGATCAGATGTGCATCTCAAGCCTCTGGCAGACTCTGTACTCATGACTTCAGCTGTAGGGAGTTGAAATTACATTTAATCCTCGCTTAACGTTAGGGTTACATTCCTGAAACGGTTATACGAAACAACGTCAAGCGGATAAATTTTCCCCGTAAGAAATAGATAAAGTACTGGAGCTACATTCCTGAGCCTCCCTTTGCCCCATGAAATACATTACATATACAGAAAATCATTGACATTTCTATAGAAAATAGTGCATACATAAACAACTACTGTACTAACTTTGTATTGATACTCACTAGCAGAGGTGGGAGCGAGTGTGTGGTGGGTAGTGAAGCAGAGTAGGCAGATGGCGGGAGGGGAGGAGTATGGCGAGAGTGGAGGAAGAGGGTGGGGAGCCGGAGGAGTGAAAAGGAGGAGGGTGGTGAGTCACTGAGACCTGCCTCCTCCTCCTATTGTTCTGACTGGGGTTCCTCTGCCGCTGTTTGCTCCTCCTCCATTGTTGTTTGCTGCTCCTCGGCTGTGGTATGCTCCTCCACTGCCCATTGACGGTTGCTTCTGTCGTCCCGCAACGAACAAATGAATCCAGTGTTGACTGCTTGGTGCTACTCTTCTTCTTCTCCTTACAGATCTCAGTGTAACAACCAAGACTGTCATCAATGCTGTGTTGAACCTGTGAGCTACGTTCTCTGTTTGGGTCGTCATCTAGAAGCATTTGCATTGGTTGCTGGAACATGTTCAACGAATCTGCCTACCTCATGGAAGTTAGCGTTCATTGAAGTTCTTTTTGTCGTCGTCGTCTTCAACGGGACTGTGTTCTGTTAGTTGTTGCAGATCTTCGTTGGTGAGCTCTTCTGTGTAGGATGCCAGGACGTCCTCAATATCCTCTGATTCCAGCTCATCAAAGCCTGCCAGTCTAGCCAAGCTGAGGATATCCCTATTCACAGCTGGGACTAAGTCCGTGAATCCCGTAAAACTGTTGACGCACTCGGGCCACAGTTTACGCCACACACCATTCAGGCAACTTTCTGAAACCTCTTCCCATGCCTTGCCAATGTTGTCAATTGCATGAAGAATGTTGAAGCCGCGCCAATATTCTCGGATCGTTGGTTTATTTTCTCCATCTGTAGCCTTGAGCAGCTGGGCCATGGCACAGCGTAAATAATGTGCCTTGAATGCGGCGATGACGCCTTGGTCCATAGGCTGCATCAGTGCTGTCGTGTTAGGAGGCAGGAATACAACTTTTACACTCATGCAAGTCGTCGAGATTGGGAGGATGAGCTGGAGCATTGTCAACGATCAGAAGAATTTTTTAGTCAAGGTTCTCCTTGGCACAGTTTTCCTTCATTGCAGGGACGGCGTACACGTGCAACCACTGGCTAAATATGCCGCCGGTTATCCATGCCTTCTTATTTGCCTTGTAGATTACAGGAAGATGATCCTTAAAGTAACCTTTCAGGGCCCGTGGGTTGGCAGTGCGCAACATCAGCATAGACTTCATGTTGAAGTCCCCGGCAGCGTTCGCGCCAAGCAGCAGCTTCAAACGGTCTTTTGCCGCTTTAAAACCTGGTGCTCTTTTCTCCTCCTTGGATATATAGGTCCTCTCAGGCATTCTCTTCCAAAGGCGATCAGTCTCATCCACATTGAAGACTTGCTTCGATGAGTAGCTTCCTTCCTGGATAATTTGCTTGAATTCAAGCGGGACTGTCTCTGCAGCAACCGTATCTGAACTGGCAGCTTCACCAGTCATCTTTAAGTTGTGGAAGTTATACCTGCGTTTAAATAGTTGAAACCAGCCTCGGCTGGCCATAAAGATCTTTTCCTTTGATCCTTCTCCCTCGGTTTCGTTCATGTCGTCAAACAAGGATCTGGCCTTATGCTGGATAACCAAAAGGCTCACAAGGATCATTGCGTTGATTCTGGTCCTCCATCCACATAGCCAGCATCTTTTCCACCTTCTCTATCACAGTACTTCTAGTATGAGTTGTTTTAGTTGCACTGAGAGTAGTACCACTTCCAGCACTAACCTTAATCTTGTCAGCGTTGGTCCGGATAGTACGCACCGTTGTAGGGGTTAGACCAAGCACAGCAGCTATGTCCACAGCACGTTCCCCTTTTTCAAATCAGGTTAATACATCCATTTTCGTAGCAAGGGTAATGGTCTTACGTTGCCTCTTCACGACACTAGCATCAGTAGCACTTGATGGGCGCTCGGAAGCCATTTCAAATGGTTAGAGTACAGTTTTAGAGCAAAAGCACTTAAGCACATACAAATGATGTGAAGTCGTAACAAAGACTAGCTTGCCATTGCTTTGGGACGCTGTGACTTTCTGAGAGTGAGGGCAGCGCGCCGAGCTAAGAGAGCGTAGTGCGGCCAGATGAGAGCATATGATGCGCCATAAAAAGTAGTCCGTGGCGACGCTAAACAATGTTGTACCGAATCACCGGGACATTTAACGAATTTTTGGTATCTAAAGTTTAGCGACATAGTACCGAAACAACTGTATCTACAAAGTTGTACGTATGTCGAGCAGTGGTCCTCCCCACCCTGCTATATGGCAGTGAGACATGAGTCACATACTGGAGGCACTTCAAGGCACTTGAAAACTTTCATCAACGTAGTCTAGGTTACAGCCTACGAGTTTGCTGGGAAGACAAGAACAAATGTCAGTACTATATTCTTGCTGACACCGACTGCAGGAGCATCGAAGCTACCATTATCCATAAACAACTACGTTGGACTGGCCATATTACCTGCATGGATGACAGTTAACTGCCAAAGCAGCTACTTTACAGTCACCTAACGAATAGTAAACGTTATGCTGGCGGGCAACTGAAAAGGTATAAGGATACGGTAGTCTTAAGACAAACCTGAAAGTGCCAATTCGATCCCCTCACCTGGGAGACGATTACTCCACACCTTAACGCTTGGAGAAGCACCGCCCCTCCCGCATTAGATGTAGCCTTTCACACATGCAACATCTGTGATCGACTGCCAGTCCCATATTGGCCTCTTTAGTCACCTCAGAGCTCACCAACGAAGGTGACATCCATAATAACTCATATCATTTTATCATAGCTGGATGATCGTCATACTCGATTCCGAGTGACAGCAAATTAGAAGTAGCTGTGTGTGTGTGTGTGTGTGTGTGTGTGTGTGTGTGTGTGTGTGTGTGTGTGTGTGTGTGTGTGCGGGCAGGCGGCGCGTAAGGCAAGTATGCAAGGCAAGGTAATGAAAATAAATGGGTTACAGTCACTTGTACTTTGGGAACTTATGAACTATACCAACAATATGATGCTAATTTTGCCACCTAAATGATTCCTACCAGCTCTCAGAGTATTCTTATAACTTCTCTGTATTACCATTTCCGTTTTTCTAATGTTTTTCATTATAGTACAGGTATTATAATTTTTCATAGATTGGATATGTTTCTGTTGTAATTTGTGGGGCCCTTGGTGTGGCTGCAGCAAGTATACCATAGTAAACCCAGTGCTTTAGTGTACTGATATAATCACCTGCCAAGATTAACTAACATATCTCACCATAAGGAATACCTTTAGGTTTACCAAGATGAAGTGTAACTTAATCTTATAATTATCACAATTAAGTTAATATGATTAAATGTTTGTATTTTACAGACCCCCCCACCAAATGCCAGACGAAAAATTGATCAGTTTGGCACAGTACCCCGCCAGCGAGAAGCAGGAGTCTATGGAGAAAACAATCATGGGACATCGGCTGCAGGACGAGCTAAGGGCGTCATGTTCGGTAAAGGATTTCACTTCCTTCCATTCCGTGTGGCGGGAAAACGGAGCACTTCAGCCCCTAATTTAGGTGACGGTGGTGATCATGCATGAGTGCAACCCTGGAACTCTCCCTGACCTCCCTTGGCCAAGAATTAGCATGATAGAAAATGATGATATAACAAATTTTTCATTATACATTACAACTAATAACGTCCTTGGATTTTCTTAATTGATAATTATAAAGGCACTCCATCACAAAGTAAAAGGCTGAATAGTAAATGTTAGCATGACATCAGGCGCCTGGCTTGTCATGAAAAAATAGTAAAGTGTCAACTCGCCCCATTTTTTCGTTAATGGTTAGTAAAATACCTTCCTTAAAATTTATTATAACTTGAAAAAGAAGACTAAGCATGATTTTATGCATGAAAACTTTTATAAACTAATATTCTGTCAACATTCTCAACCTTCTACTGCTTGGTATAAAGTCAGCCAAGAAGGACCTCCTAAATATGCATTGACACCCACAGTACTAAAAATGTATGCTAGATAAAGTTACTTTAGCATAGTTGTATACAGCTAAATATGACATGTGACTTGGCATGTTAGGTGCTATGTGGAAAGGTGGCTTGTGGTTTGAGAGATGGTGTTTGATCAGTGCAGGTGAGTAGCTGTGGAGTTAGTGCCGTTGAGGCACTGAGTGGGTGTGTGTAGATTGGAATGTCAAAGAGGGAATGTGTGGTGGTGTTAGTGTGTGAGGTGCTTTAGGGGTGTTGTGCTGTGTGGATTGATTGATTAATTGATTCTGGTAATTACAGCCCTGGCGATGCAACAACGTAGGTCATATGTTGCCAAATTAAAAGAAAGGCTTAAAAGACTAAAATAAAATAACACAGAACTCTTGTAACAAAACATTCAAACATTAATAGATAAAACTCAAAGCTTGTATACAAGGCCGGCTTCCTCCACATGAAGGAGAGGATGTCCCCTCCCACGCTACCTCTCCCTCCCCCCAGCACCCTCTCCATAAATAACCATGAGTTGGCCGTGTGTGGCCAATATGAAGGCGGGCTAAAGCAGTCTCCTGGTAGCGTAACAGTCCCTGATATCCCCAGGCACCCAGTGCAGGGTGGATGTCGCAGAGATTGTTTGCTTCGACAGCATCCCACCTGCATTGCCTACTCGAGCAGATGGCAGCTCTTATGACTGGCTTCATATCAGAGGCAGGTGGAGGGGGATGATGTGCCACAGGGCGAGAAGCAGCTGCTTTTGCCACAGCATCAGCACGCTTATTCCCCTTCTCCACCACACGGGCTGGATCCCAGCAAAAACTGACTTTCTGGCCGTGACATGGGATGAGAAATGGCCACTGTAAAATATTTATAACATAAGAACATAAGAAAATATGGAGTCTGCAATAGGCCGGTTGGCCTGTGCATGGCAGCTCCTGTCGAGAGTTACTACCACTCTCTATCATCCATGAATCTATCTAGCCTCCTTTTAAAACTTTCCAGCGTTCCAGCACTTACTACAAAGTTGCTAAGCTTGTTCCACTCGTCCACCACCCTATTTGTGAACCAGTTACTTCCTATCTCCCTCCTAAACCTAAACTTATCCAACTTAAATCCATTGCTACGAGTCCTATCCTGCTCGGATATTATAAGAACTTTATCTATATCTCCTTTATTGATTCCTTTCACCCACTTAAATACTTCTATCATATCTCCCTGCACTCTTTCTCTTTCTAGGGAATGCAAGTTTAGTTTCTTTAACCTATCCTGATATGGAAGGTTTCTAAGTCCCGGAATCATTTTCGTCATTCTTCGCTGCACCGACTCTAGTGAATTGATATCAATTCTATAATAAGGGCACCAGAACTGAACCGCATAATCGAGGTGCGGCCTGATTAGCGCAAGATATACAGTCTCTCCTCGACTTACGACTGGGTTCGTCCCGACGACCAGGTCGTAAGTCGAAAAGGCGAAAATAATACATAGAAATTCTAAATTGGGTGTCTCTTTTTCCTCTCAGCACCACGAGAACTCTCACTTTTACGCTTGCCAATCATTTTAAAGGGAATTACAAATGAAAATTTTGTCAGTACACAGCGCGATCACTAACGTCGGGACTCGAAAATACGTAATGTGAAAAATATTTTTTACGACCATGGCCGTCGTATGTCCGGGTTGTCGTAAGTTGAATATATCGTAAGTCGAGGAGAGACTGTAGTTGCAATAAGACCTCTGCACTCTTTATTACTTACATTTCTAGATATAAAACCTAATGCTCTGTTTGCCTTATTTCGAACATTAACGCACTGTTTTCTAGGTTCGGGCTTACAAGTACCCCCAAGTCTCTTTCACAAGTCGACTTCTCAAGGTTGATGTTGTTAAGGCTGTATACATTGACAGTATTTGTTCTTCCAATATTAAGTACGCTGCACTTGCTGGTGTTGAATTTCATTTGCCATTTTTCTGACCACTCCTACAGTTTATTGAAATCCTCCTGTAATGCATTTGCATCCTGCCCTGAATTAATCTGCCGCCCTATTTTGGTATCATCCGCAAACTTGCTTTTGTCACTGCAGATCCCAGTATCTAGATCGTTTATGTAGATTATGAACAACAGTGGGCCCAGTACTGACCCCTTGGGAATCCCACTTGTTGCACAGCCCCACTCAGATTTAACACCATCTACGCTCATCCTCTGTGTTCTATTGATGTGCCATGATTTTATCCAATTTAAAACTTTCCCGATGATACCATGAGCCTTAACTTTTCTCAGAAGCCTCTGATGCGGTACTCTGTCAAACTCTTTGCTAAAGTCTAAATAAATAACATCATCAATTTCGTCATTTTCTACTACCTCAAAGACTTTCCTAAAAAATGTCAGCACATTTGTTAGACAAGATTTTCCCTTTGTAAACCCATGTTGAGATTCGTAGACTAATTTGTTTTTCTCTAAATGCAATCGAATGCTGTTTGCTATAATTGATTCAAGAAATTTCCCCACTACTGACATCAAACTATTCGGCCGGTAATTTGACGCTGATGCTCTGTCTCCCTTTTTGAATATGGGTACTACATTTGCCTGTTTCCACAAGTCTGGCACAACTCCCGTGTCTAAAGGTCACTTCCCCTCTCTGACTTTAAAGGTCCCACTTTGTCCTTGACCTTTGTCCTATATACCTGGAAAAATCCCTTGGGATTTGCCTTGGACTCTCTTGCTATCCTGTTTTCTTAGTCCCTCTTTGCCCTTCTTACCATTTTCTTAACATTCCTAGATAGTTCATTATACCTATTTCTGAGCTGCTCCTTCCTTCCCTTTAATTTCTTATAAATTCCTTTCTTTTTTCCTATCTCATGTTTAAGTTTTTTGGTCATCCACCTTGGCTCATTCATATTTGACCTAATTTTTCTGTATGGTATATTTTGTTCTTGTACTTTATGTAGTATACTAGTGAATATATTATAAGTCATGATCAACTGTTGTGTCGCCGGTAACCTCACCCGTTCCTACCGAGGACTGACCTGACTTCCCTGGTGACCTCACCTAGGTACCTTCTTAACCCCTCATAATCCGCCGATCGAAAGTTTGGGACTCTGACCGTATTTTCATTGTTTTTCGTTACCCAATTTAGGGTGAACCTGATTTCTCTGTGATCACTGTTCCTTAGTTCTTCCCCTATTGTGATATCTCTGATAATATTTTCTTTACTTGTTAATACTAGGTCTAATATATTGTCACCTCTAGTAGGTTCTGTAATTAGTTGTTTTAAAAAAATTGTCCTCTACTGCGTCTAGGAGGTCTTCAGATTCATAGTCACCTATAATGTCGTCTCAGTCAATATTTCTGAAGTTGAAATCCCCCATAATGCACAGGTTGTTGTATTTTGCTGCCCTACTCATTTCCTGCCGTATGGGCTGAGCTGCTTCTTTCCCAAGACTTGGGGGGCCTGTAATTCACTCCCATAATTAGTTTTTCTCTTCCTTCCGCAATTTCTACCCATACGGAATCGGTTCCTATTTCACCCTTTATTGAATTATTAATACAACATTTTAATGTATCCCTGACGAAGAGTGCGACCCCCTTCCCCCTTCCTACCTTCCCTGCCCTTGTGAAAAAGGTTGTACCCTTCTATATGATACTCTGATAAAAAGTTCTTCCTCGCCAGATTCATCCAAGTTTCGGTGATTGCTATGACGTCTACATTCTCGGTACATACAACCGCTCTCAGCAAGTCTATTTTATTTCTAACGCTCCTACTGTTTGTATAGTATACATTTAAACCTACCCTTTCCTGGTTCTGTTTTACCCCTTGTCCTGAGTAACCAATTTTACTCCCCAGGACCTACTTGTGTTTTGACTCCCACTTACCCCGACCTCTCTCTACTGGCGAAGCAGTACACTTGCTGAGGAGGAGTAGGTCGTTGGGATTATATTTGCCTAGTCCATTTCTCCCTATGGTTTCCTGCCAAATGTTAACATCTCTGCCAACTCTGGCATTGAAGTAGCCAATGAGCACAACCTTGTCTTCTCTGGGAATATTGCTTTAGCACTCTGTCGAGGTCGGCGTAAAAGGCCTTCTTGATGTCATCTTCTGCATCCAGTGTTGGGGCGTATGCACTGTTGAAGAAGGCGTGACGTGCGTGATTTAGTGGGACTCAAAGCGTCATGAGGCGCTCGTTGATCCCAATAGGCATTTCAGTTAGCCTGTGTAGGATGTATTGGTGGATGGCAAAGCCAACTTCACAAATGCAGTTTCTCTTCGCAGCAGGCTTACCCTTTCCAGAAGAAGGTGTAGCCAGACCCCCGTTCTGTGAGTTGGCCCTCACCTGCGAGCTGGGACTCACTGATGGCTGCTATGTCGGTGTTATACCTAGCCAGCTCTTTTGCCACAAGGGCAGTTCTTCTTTCAGGATGCGTATTTGTGCCAGTATCCAGAAGGGTCCTGACATTCTATGCAGCTACCATAAGAGGTTGTATGGTTTGTTTTTGTTTGGATCTGTGATTTTGGTTGTGTTTTCGACCCCATAAGGATGACCTTACTGGGTGCAGTTGCCCAGTCAGGTTGGGTTTTTAGGCAGGCTA